GACATCGTGGACCTCGTCCACGATCTCCGCACTAGGCACAGGAAAGTGGCCGGCTAGGGCAGGAGAGCTGCCAGCTTGGCCACCCAGGAGCAGGTGTGCAAGAGAATCAAGGATGTCCACTGAGACCCCCGACCCTGAGCCCTGAGCTTACAATGGCCATCCTGGGTCAGAACAAAGGTTCATCTATCCCAGTAGCCTGTCTGCCGACAGCGGCCAACCCTAGGGACCCTGGAGGGGATGGACCGAAGACAGTGACCAAGCCATTTGTCTCATGCCATCCCTCTCTAGCCTTCCACAAACTTTGGGCAGGGACACCACTCCTACCCTCTGGCTAATAGGACTCCATGGACCCAACCTCCATGACTTGATCTCACTTCCCTTTAAACTCTGTTCCAGTTCTAGCCTTCACAGCCTCCTGCAGCAAGGAGTTCCACAGGTTGACTCTTTGCTTTGTGAAGAACAACTTTCTGTTACTAGTTTGAAGCCTGCTACCCATTCCTTTCCTTTGGTGTCCTCTAGTCCTTTTTTATGGGAACTAATGAAGAACTTTTCTGTATGCACCGTCTCCACCCAACTCCTGCTTTTAGAGACCTCTATCCTGTCCCCCCTCTGTCTCCTCTTTTCTAAGCTGAAAAGTCCCAGTCTCTTTAGCCTCTCTTCATATGGGACCTGTTCCCAACCCCTGATCATTTTAGTTGCCCTCCCCTCTCCCAGCCTCTCTCTTCCCCTCTCCCACCTCCTTTTCCCAGTCTCCCCCAGTTTTGTTCAATAAAGACAGATGCCATTTTGGAAGACACGTTATCTTTATTTTGTACATCAAGAAGAGGGGCTAGGGAAAGGTAAGTGGAAGGAGGTGAGGGAGGAATGGGGCACGAGCCCCCGATGGGGAGGACTGGGCTGGCTCTGCGGGCTTCTGGGGGTGGAAGCTCTCCTGCAGCCCCCCAATTGCCCTCTCTTCCCAGATGGCAGCCTGCAGCAAGTGCAGCCGGGCTGATGGCCGAGTGCTGTGATGTGCCCAGTGTGGGCATTCAGGGCACTCCAAGCCAGGACTACTTTGCAAGCGGGTAACCCTGAGAACTGTCTGTCCGGGGTGGGGGTCGGGTCCCTTTAAGCACAGCCCTCGGCTAGCCTGAGACAGCAGCTCCACGCTCTAAGTCCTCATCTGATGCCCTGCCGGCATTGCTTCCGGCCATCCTTAACTTCTGTTCAGGGTCCACTCTGTTTGAACATGCTAGTTCAAATTAGCAAAACACTAATTCGAACTAGTTTTTAAGTCTAGCTGCGCTAATTCGAATTACCTTAGTTCGAATTAACTAATTCGAACTAAGTTAATTCGAATTAGCGCTGTAGTGTAGACATATCCTATGTGTTATAAAGAAAAGCCCTGACTAGCAAGTAGAAGGAAGTCCTTGAAAATAACAAGTGACAAGACTAGAAGAATAAAGTAGGGAGGATGTATGGTTCAAAGAATAACTGAGATAAGGGGAAATTTCTAAAAAGAAGGCCTCTGACTGATAGGGGTAACTGCAGATAGTTTTAAATAAACAGAGATAATCTTAAAATGAGCTAGCATGGACCTTCCCAAACCATATACCATTGTTAAAGCTGATGTGAACCCACATGCAATGGAAAAACCAACAGCTAATAGAGAAGGAAAGGCCTTGAGAAGAAAGAAGGTTGTAAATCTTAATCTGGATTAAATTTGGAAATAAAGGTGAACTCAGATTGGGTTTTAGCTGAAGGCCTTGGAAATGACAGCACTTGTTTGCTGAAGTGTGTAAAAGAGTAAACACTTAAGCCTAGTCTACACTAGACCAGGAAGATCAGCTTAAGGTACGCAACTCTAGCTACATAAAAGGCGTGGTTGGAGTTGGCTTACTTTAAGATGAGCCTTGGCGGCGTCCACACTGCAGGAGGACAACGGAAGCAAATGCACCTGTCAGCTTCCTTTACTGTTCGCTAAAGGAGGAGTACTGGATGCCCATGGGAGTTGCCCTCAGTATTCGATTTAGGGGTCCATACTAGACCCGCTAAATTGAACGCCAGAAGATCGACCACCAGAGCGTTGATCTTCTGGTAAGTATAGACATGCCCTTACAGGTTTCATTCGTAATATCTGCCTGATCATCCTGGAGCCAACCAATGTAGGTCTGCGCAGCCATGGGTTAGCCCATGTGTAAGTATCTTAATCAAATGCTTAGAAATGTTTTGTTATTTTTTAAATGTAGCAAATTGCATACTGATTAGGCTTTTTAGACATGTTTAAAGCAATTATACAAATACCATTAGGCCTTTGGATTTAATATAGGAATTTATGGTTAAACTAGTGTTTGGTGGTTTCCTGTATTAATAATTTCAAATATTATTAATAATTCTAACTGGGTGTGTTTATTTAGGGGCTAGATGGGTTTAAACAGAAGCTGCAGGTTGTGTGGGGCTGTGGGAAGGGTAGTTGGTGGTTATAATGGACTGAGGGTGGGGAGGGATGGGAAGCAACGGGAGGATCTGAGCACCATAGGAAGCTGTGTGATGGTACCCGTGGCCACAGCTGGCTATGGCAGTGCCTGGCTCCCTTAATCAGCCACCATCTGCCGGCACTCACCAGCCAGTCCTGGCTACAAATGGGGCAGGAGGGGGGCAGCACCTAGTGGTCAAGAGCTGGCACAGAGCAGGGACTACATTGATGGACCAACAGGGGGAGCAGCTGATCTTGAATGCTGCAATTTTGCCAGACTTACAGTCTTGCACATTCACCCCCTCATAAGTCACTGGTCCCTTACCACACACAGACATACACACACCTATCACGGTGGGTGGAAGGCTGGCGAGCATGGATCTAGCCAAAAATAGGAACCACCAATACTGGTAGAAGGGAAGAGACAGAAAATACTGCCCAATTTGCCATTTTTAAAAAAAATTACGGACACCAGCAGAGGGGCTTGAATTCAGGACTGTCCCTTTAAAAATAAGACATCTGTTCACCATAAGTATGGGGTTCCAGCCACTAAGATGTTTCCATGAAATCTTTAAAAGAATAAATTCCATGAGACTTCTTCAAACATCTGAGCCTCGCCTGCAGCCTTCAACAGTACTGCATTTGGCTAGTCCAGTGGTTCTCAAACTTTTTGGCCTGTGGACCACCTAGCTCAATATAAACCTTTCCACGGACCACCAGTTGCTAATGGAAATGGACTGTTAATTATATAATTATGCCTGAGCCATTTTGCTAGTGCTGCAGCTAGGGATAACGGTTTTATTTAAATTATTAAACAGATTAAGCACTTTACCTTTCTCATGTTAGCTTATCAGACTTCATGTTATGTAAAGTAAAATATTAATTTATGTCCAACACAAAAGGTTTCAATGTTTTCTTTATTTATGGCAGAGGTAGGGAACCCTTTTTGTGTCGGGGCCACTGACTCACAGAAAAATCAGTTGGGGACCACATCAGTGAGATGCAAAGAAACTCCTCCAAGACCCCCAAGCCTCACTGATGTGGCCCCCAACTGAGACACATCACTCCTCTGGCACTCCAGCCCCACAGGACGAGGGGAAAAGAAGGGACAGGAGGACTGAGGTTCAGGGGTTCCCATAGTCCAGATTTATTTTTCTGGGGTTCCAGAGTTAGTAGATTTTATGGACCCCCTTAAGCTGGGAGGTGGGGACAAAAATGAGGGGTGCACTGTGCGGGACAGGGCTGCCAGTGAGTGGTATATGGATAGGGTGCAGGATCTGGGAGGGAGGTGGGGTGCAGAAGGTAGGTAAGGGTGCAAAGTCTGGATGGGAGGTAGGGTGCAGAAACAGGCTGGGAGTACAGTGTCTGGCCAGGAAAGAGGATGCAGAAGCAGACTAGGGGTAGGGTGTCTAGCCAGAAGGGAGGGTTCAGGAGCAGACTGGGAGTTGGGTTTCTGGCTAGGGGCAGGAATATTGGGACAGGGAGTGCCTGGGGCTAAAGCTGGGGGGGCAGAGTGGCTGAGGGGGTTGAGGGAGATGGGGGGCAGGGTGCCCCTGGCAATAGTCAAGGTGGCTTGGGGCAGCAGTTCAGAAAAATGGAGGGGTAGGGGCAGGGAGGCTGGGCATGACACAGAAAGGTGGGGGTGAGTGGGTAGGTGACCCCAAGGTCAGTTCATGGTGCCTTCCTCCCAGATCGAGTCCCCATGGGTGCAGCCCTGAGCCCCCACCTGTCTCCTGCGTGTGCAGGGTCCTCAGCCCCAGTGTCGCTTCCTCCCACCGCTGTTGGGCCCCGTGCAGCCCAACCTGCTGCCAGGGAAGGGGGGGGGGGCGCCAGCTGCTCACGCACCGTGACAGTCCACTCCACCTGGCTGAGCCCAACCTGCTGCCAGGGAGGCAGGGGCCCCCAGCCACTTGCACATCACAAGAGACCACGCTCCTGGGCGAGCCCTGTGCAGCCCAACCTGCTGCCTGCCCCACAGAACCAACTGAGAGTCACATCGCTCTTACCATGGCGGCAGGGCTCCTCCCTGTGTAGCACCGCACTCCGTGCGGGGGGGGAGGTGTGAGTTTGCTTTCTTCACCTCGCCGCCTGCCAGCCAGAGCTGGTGCTGCAGCCTAGCAGCTGCACGCCAAATGCCTGGCTGCAGCAGCAGTGCAGGGTCCTCACTGCATGGCGGAAGGAAAGGGGGGGAGGAGCTCCCATCATAGACCACCTGGGAAGTGGCCACAGACCACTAATGAATCACTGGGCTAGTCCATGAACACCAAGACACCAAGCTGACTAATCCCCTCTCATTCCCCAGGATGGGAGAAATGCAAACAGCAAACAAAGGACACCAGGGGTGTCATTTTAGATTTTGGAAGGGGGGGAACAGGGGGACTGACCTGTGCATGCAATGGTGGGGGGAAGGGAATGAGAGCATGAAGGAAGCAGACTGAGGACAGAGGCTTCAGCAGTGTTACTGAGCATGCTCAGTACTGATCAAGCACCAAATGCGGGAGCAGGAAGAAACCAACCCCATTCACTTTCCCTCACAACACATCATCTCTATCCAGGGCCTATTTTTGGCAGACAGCTTAGTAGTTAGCTGACATGAGCACTGTATCTAATTCATATATAAAAGAAAGAGCATTAAATATTAAGCCCACTCCGTTCTAACACTAGCATATCCTGACATCTTGTGGCAAGTCACTTACAGGACACTGGTTAGCCTTAAAATTTTAATATATATTCTTATTTTCAAGGCTTGACAAACCACCGATTCTACTCACCTGTGGCAAGTAGATTTCAGCCAGTCGCTCTGTGCGCCCCATTCACCGGCGCTGCGCGCATGTGCGCCTGCGCAGTGCTGGTCTGGCACATGTGTGGTGCGGGGCTGGCAAGTAGCTTTCGCTGCGGTTTGTCAAGCCCTGCTTATTTTGTTACTGAGTGGAAGGGGAGAGACCCTATCAGGACTCTGGGCTGTCTCTCAGCTCTGGAAGAGGAGTGGGCTCTAGTGGGTTACAGCAGGGGGCAGATATATTTCAGCTGTATATGGGTGTGTCTACACTGCACCCTTATTTCGAGATAGTGTTATTTTGAAATAATGTGAGTGCCTACACAGCCATTCCGTTATTTCAAAATAATTTCAAAACAACAGACGGCTTATTCCAAAATCTGTAAACCTCATTCTACAAGGAATAACGCCTATTCCAAAATAGCTATTTCAAAATAAGGCATGTGTAGACGCTTGACTGCTGCTATTTTGAAATAGCACCTCATCAAAGCCATTCTGAGTTATTCCTCCCCACTGCCTCCTTTGGCTCTAAAGTGAGATAGCGCGTCTACATTAGGGAAGCCTGCCTCAGACTAATTTTGAGGCTTCCCTGTAGTGTACATGTACTATTTTGAAATAAACTATTTTGGAATAACTATTCCGGAATAGCTCATTTCAAAATAGCCGTGCAGTGTAGATCTAGCCTGTAAGAACATCAGAATGCCAAACTGGTTCAGACCAAAAGGTCCTTTTAGTGCTGTATCGTATCTTCCAACAGTGGCCAATGCCAGGTGCTTCAGAAGAAATAAACAGAAGAGGCAATCATCATGATCCAGCCCCTGTTGCCTATTTTGTTTGTGTTAAATATTTTGCCTATAAATTTAATTGGGTCAACTTCTTGTGTTATGTTAGTAAAGGAGTGACTATCATTTCATTATTCTATTTTTCCACACCATTCACGATTTTTTAGACCTCTAACATATTCCCCCACCCTTTAGTCATTTCTTTTCCAAACTGAAAAGTCCCTGTCTTATTAATCTCTCCTCATATGGAAGATGTTCTTTACCCCTCCTAATTATTTCTGGTGCCCTTTCTGTACCTTTTCCAAATACAATATATCTTTTTAAAATTGGGTGACCAGATCTGCATACAGTATTCAAGATGTGGGTGTACAATGACTTTTGTAGTGGGGTACCCCTCCCTCTTTGTTCCGGGGTACTCCCCCTTCCCAACACCCACGGGGTTGTTAGTTCAAACCCCTCCTCGCGGTCACCTATGTGCGTCCCAACTAATCAGCTCATTAACTTGCCGGGTCTCCCCGAAACGTCGGCTGCGCGGTTTCCTCCTGGTGGGGACAGGGGGGTCCGGGCCCGCCCCCTCTCACGGACCCCAGCCCAGGGCCCTAAGGACTCAAACGGAACCTTCGTCCGGTCCGGCTGACGGGGCCGTAGCCGCAACTCGTCAGCCCGCAGGCTCCCTTCGCCCGCCCTGGGCTGCTTCCTCTCCCCATTCCGGTTCACCCTGCTGAGCAAGGCTTACCCCTTCAGCTTCGGGTCCCTCCACCTAACGGCCCCGGGGAGGGAGGCCATTCGCGGCCTGCTTCCCCCTCCTTCCCTGCCGGCGGCGTTTAAATCCCCCGGATCTGCTCCGCCGCCGCGGCCCCACCCGGCGTGGCGTGGTGACGTCTCCCGTCGGCGGCCGGAGTAGCGTGATGGCGTCATCCGCCTGGCCGCCTCCCTGGGATCCTCCGGCATTTCTAGCCGGAAGGCCGCTGCCGCCAAACCGGAAGGCCGCCGCTGCCGAACAGCTGACACAGTGGTTGGCGGGTCGTGCAAGGGCCGCACGGGCGGCTGTTCGCGGCGTGCCCCGCTCGGGGCTCCCGGCCTGACCCTCGAGAACCGCTGCGTACGCGGTTGGGCGGGTCATCTCAGTGCGGGGCGCCCCTGCCCTGTCACACTTTATATAG